AGTGGCAGCACCAGCGTTTGCGAGATCGATCTCCTACGAAAATCGCCGAACCCACCCACTCATTACACTCTCAAGGTCTAGCCATGGCGAATGTCATCTTCTGATCTGCCGGATCGAATCGCAAGTGACATTGACATAGATAGTGCGACGTACTAACAATACAGCATTGGGGGTCCACTGTGGGGTGGAAGTGATGCTTCAGACTACGCCCCATCACACGAATGCTGTCCAAGGCACACCACGCGCGCACCTTCACAGGAAACATAGCACAAACAAACACTGTAAGATGGAACTGCGCGCAACTAACCATTTGTCAATCATTCACACGTCCAATAAGGGTGTCCCCAAGTAGTGTGATGGATGGAGCTGAGGCTTGAGAAACGTCGAGGAGAGAAGGTTGTTAAGCGGAACGTGTGAGGGTGTTATAAAGGGATGCCGAATGGGGAGCAGCGCTGAGGATGGAGCGGGGCTCAAATTGGAAGGAGCTGAGAGGTAAGGGCGAGGCAGAGCGCAGGCGTCAAAGGGCGACACCAGAAACTCAAGGGAGCAACGCGGATACTTACAATGCGATCGACAAGGCACGGGCGGCAACCAGCTGCAACAAAAAAAGGGGGGCAGCGGCCGAAACTTGCACGGGATAGACTCCCACGTCTTGCGGCCCATGATGACGGCATTGAGCTTGCCCGCGTCGGCGTCGTCTGAACGGCAAAGCTGGCATTACAAACATGATATTGGAGACGCCAGCTACACGACGTGCCAGACATCGAGTGAAAGGATGACGAATGGAGAGGCGGAGCGGGAGTGGGGTTGGCAGAGGGTAGGGAAAGGGGGCAGAGAGCTTCCTCCGACTCCGTCAGAGAGGCACAGTTCGGATCGGTCCGCCAGACGGCGTTGCAGTCAAGCGATACGCATATTGCCTGGCTGTACTACAGTCGGACCTAGGACAGAAGAGACACGAGACCCTCCGCTGGCCAAGACGCACAAAACAGCAAAGGGTACCCTCCCCAGGGGGTGCACAGAATCATCCAACAGGCACGAAAAACATTAGTGTTCCATCCCCGAACCGACCTCGATCTTACACCTCGGTCCGAGTGTCCCCCCTGCCGAAGCCCCGAGGGGAGCAGGCTGAGACCCCGAAGCAGCTCCATCCGGCCACGGGCGCGGCCGAGGTCCCACCACCAGTGCGGCGGCGTGGGGAGTCGGCTGCCATCGCTGCTGCTCACTCGCGCCCCGAGGAAGAGGCGGTGGATGCCCTCGGCTCATTTAGGCGGCCACATGCGAACCCTACCCCTACCCCCCGCGATTTCTGAGGGGAAGGGTGGGGGGTAGGGGTAGGGTTCGAATGTGGCCCCCTGTCATGCTCTTCCAACGGCTCTGGCTGGCCTGCAGATGCGGAGCCAAACGGCCATGGTCGTGAGGGCGGGCTCCTGCCAGCCTTGCTGACCCTCATCCTTGCCGGTGCTCGCTGTCCAGAAGCAGCGGCGTTCGCTGCTCCTCTTCGCCCGTCGCTGGGGCGTCCAGTCTCCGTGCACCTGTCGGTGTCTTGCGCGCTCCTGCTGCCAAAATGCTCCCGGATGCTTATGGTTTTTCCCCGCCGAGAAGGAATGCACATGTCCGAGCGATGCTAACGAACCCAACGCGACCCCAACTAGGCGATTACCGGGTAAAAACGAACCCGGAACGAACTCGACGACATGAACCCAGCGCGGGCGTGCTGTGTGGTGGCGGCAGGGAACCCGAGGAACCCGGGGAACCCGAGAAACCCCCGAGGAACAGGCACCGTAACAATACGAGGCACCGGGCGGGAAACCCGGGGATCCTGGGGAACATCCGAGCAATGGGCAACGTAAGAATACGAGGCACCAACCTTTAACCGAGGATGAACCCCTTAGGCGGGCCCCATCGGGGAATCCGAACAAATTCGCTGCTCCTCGCCCTGCTCCTCCTCCTACACCTGCCCCTGCTGCTGGCCCTCGCTCGTCCTCATCCTCGTGTTCGGGTGGGGCATGGCGGCGAGGGCGTGGGGGCGGGGGGGGGAAAGGAGAGCGAGGAGCACGAAGGAGGGGAGGGGACAGGGGGTCCCCTTGCCCGGGGTGCTAGCCCCAGTGGAGATCTCACAGGAGGTCAGATTTTCGTGAGGCGGCTACTACTTCTTGCAGCAGGGCCCAGCTGCACTCCAGCAGAACTGCCCTGCCACCCTGGACCAGGAGGGAGGATAGGGAGGAGGAGGAGTAGGAGGATGAGGAGGAGGAGCAGGAGGAGGAGGAGGGGGAAGAGGAGGAGGAGGAGAAGGAGGAGGAGGAGGCGGAGGAGGAGGAGGAGGAGGAGAGGAGGAGGAGGAGGGAGGAGGAGGGAAGGAGGAGGAGGAGAGGCGGAGGGAGGGGAGGAGGAGGAGGAGGGAGGGGAGGAGAGGAGGAGCCAGAGGAGGATGAGGGAGGAAGAGGAGGAGGAGGAGGAGCAGGAGGAGGAGGAGGAAGGAGGAGGAGGAGGAGGAGGGGAGGAGGAGGAGGAGGAGGACGAGGGAGGAGGACGAGGAGGAGGGGAGGAGGAGGAGGAAGGAGGAGGAGGGGGAGAGAAGAGTAGGAGTAGGAGGAGAAGAGGAGGAGGAGAGCGGAGGAGGGAGGCAGACAGAGAAGAGGAGAGAGAGGAGAGGAGGGGAGGAGAGGGGGGAGGAGGAGGGGAGGAGGAGAAGGAGAACGAGGAGAAGGGGTGGAGGAGGAGGAGGAGGAGGAGGAGGAGGAGGAGGAGGAGGAGAGGAGAGAAGGGAGGACGAGGAGGAGAGGAGGAGGAGGAGGAGGAGGAGGAGGAGGAGGAGGAGGAGGAGGAGGACGAGGTAGGAGAGGAGGAGAAGGAGGGAGGAGGAGGAGGAGGAGGAGGGGGCGGAGGAGGAGGAGGGGGGGCGGAGAGGAAGATTGGGGAGAAGGATGAGGAAGGATGAGGACGACGAGAAGGGGGGACGAGAGGGGAGGAGTGAGGAGGAGAAGGAGGAGGAGGAGGAGGGAGGAGGAGGAGGGAAGGAGGAGGAGGCGGGAGGAGGAGACGCTACAGTAGAGCTGAACTGGAGGAGGAAGAAGCGAAGAGAGGGAGGGGGGAGTTGGCGGAGGAGGAGAAGGTGGAGGAGGAGAAGGAAGAGGAAGAGGAAGAGGAGGAGGAGGACGACGAGACGGAGGAGGAGGAAGAAGAGGAGGAGGAGGAGGAACGAAGGACGAGAGGGAGGAGGAGGATAATGGGGATGATGATGATGAGGAGGAGGAGGAGGAGGAGGAGGAGGAGGAGGACAGGGAGGACGAGGAGGAGGAGGAGGAGGAGGAGCTGCATTCGAGCGAGCTGGAGAAGGAGGAGATGTGACATCGCGCAGGGCACTGACGATGCTGCAGAACGGCGTTCGCGATGATCAACGAAGCGGATCTGATCATGGACTGTAGTGAGCCATCGTGAGGTACATCAGTAGGCAGCAGTTGCCAATTATGCGCAGCTGCGCTTACGATGTCTGCGGAAGATGACATCCGACGAAAACGCCGACCGACGAAGCCGAACGCGTCGTCGACGGCGTCGGACTCCTGCGAGGCGGGGGCATCGAGTCCAACCCCCTCGAAAGCCGCCAGCCGTGCCTCCCCCATTTTGGCCGGAAAGCCTTGGCAAAGCCGACTCGGGACAGAAGTCCCGCCTGGTGTGGGATGGCCGAGATGTTCGTGATGTTCGACGGCGAGCCCAGGGGGGAAGTGAGAAGGGGCGGGCCTTCGCAGAAGGCTCGGAATCCCCCCGGCCTCCGGAAACGCTTTCTGAACCTTCCCCGAAAGCACAGAACACTCCTCAGCAAGCCGGAGGCCTTCTGACGAGCCCCGCCGCCCTCTGAGACGGCCTTCTCCTCCTCACCTTCCCCCCCTCGCGCTCGCCGCCGAGGAGCGGGCCACGTGCGCGGGGAGCGGCGGGCCCAGCCGGGCCGCGCGGGCCACCTGCGCGCGTGCCTGCCCGCCGGACCCGCGCGGTGTGCGGGCAGGCCCGTGTTCAAAAGCCGCACCGCCCCGAGAGCCGCAGGGCGGGCCGCCTCGCTGGAGGCCTGCGTGCGGGTGCGCACCGTCCCGAGGCCGTCTCGGGGAGACCCCCTCCTCCCCCCTCCCCCTCCCCCTCCCCTCCTCCCTCCTCCTCCTCTCCTCCTCCTCCTCCTCCTCCCTCCTCCCCCTCCCTCCCTCCCTCCCTCTCCCTCCCTCCCTCTCCTCCTCCTCCTCCTCCTCCCTCCTCCTCCTCCTCCTTCTCTCTCTCCTCCTCCCTCCCTCCTCCTCCTCCTTGCTCCTCCTCCTCCCCTCCTCCTCCCTCCGCCTCCTCCTCCTCCTCTTGCTCCTCCTCCTCCTCCTCCTCCTCCTCCTCCTCCTCCTTCCCGCAGCGCCGGCACCACGGGACCTGCGGCGTGGCCCCGAGCCCGCCTCCGGGCCCCGAGGTGCCGGCCCTGGCCATGCTGTGCCTCGCTGCCGGCCCGACGCCCGACTCCCAGTGCGGCGTCGACGACGGGCTGCACAGCTCTCAGCACACGGGCGGGCCTCCTGCTGCTGTGGATGCCGACTCGGGGGGCAAAAAGTGCCATAAACCTAAAAACTCAGAGGTCCGCGCGGATTCCTCGCGGATCGGCGCTGGGGCCCACCGGCGGCGCCTCCGGAGCCGCCCCTGGCGCGCTCCGCGCGCCAGGCAGGGGGGTCCAGCGCCGATCCGAGAAATTCGCGCGGGCATCCGAGTTTTCATGTTTATGTTACTTTCCCTAGTCGAAGCCCCGGCTGCGGCCGGTGCGTACTGCCATCAGGAATGGGCATCCAGAGGCGAATCGGTGGTCGTCCTCCCCCTCCTCGTGCTCCAGATTTTTTTTCGATTGGTCGCCCGCGTTCCCATCTGGGCGGGTAGACAGAAGGTTGCAACAAGCACGAGGTTTGAAACATCGAAGAGCAATTCGGTCAAGGAGGACAATCTTGGGACATCTGATAGGGAAGAAAGGGGGCGGAGAGGGACGGGCAGGCAACGCGGACAGGGCGTTGCTACGGGAGGAGGGATATGAATGGAGACATCGATATTGAGGGGGACGCGGAGGGGTGCGTGGCGAGGGGGATGGACAGATGGGCGAGGTCGTGAAAGAAAGAGAGGTGGTGACGGCGAGGTGGGGAAGACCCTCCAGAGAGACAAATAGTGCACAGCGTGCCAACGCAGACATGAAGAGAGCACGATCCACAGAGCATGCCCAGCAGCGAGCCTGGTAAAGCCATGGTGACACGCTTGAAGTGCGCCATGTCCTTGGCAAGTGAAGTTCGTCCCTCTGAAATCCGCGCGCGCGGTTCACACCAAGCAACCTGCTCGCTTCAATTGGCTGGAGCTGCGTGTCTACTACGTGCTGACGTCGTTCAACACATCTCCCCGTGCTGACGTTGTCCAACACTGCTATTTTCATCGCGCGAGCACATCGTAGCACATGAAACATCAATGTGCCTTGTTGCCTGTTTTTGTTCCGCCCAGTCCACTTCCGGCTCCCGACCGGGCCCGTGCCAAAATGTATCGTGCTAGCAAGACCGCACCAGGGCCAAACATGCGCACTGGTGTCCAGAGAGTGCACCCGTGCCGAAAGCGCACTGGTGCTGGGGAAATCAAAAAATACCGATACTGCTACTCCCCAGACCTCTCCCAGAGTGCGTTCTGACTAGAATTTCGATGCGAATCCGACGGTGGCGACGAGAACCCCCCAGGAGGGCGAAGAAGGGGAAAACAGGCGAGGGGTAGCGGTGTGGGTCACCTTTTCCTCCTCCGAGGTGCCAAGAGCGCACCTGTGGCAAGACTCACAGGTGCCAGCACGCACGGGTGCAAAAACGCGCCGCTGCCCGCGCGGGCTGAGAGCCGCAGCGGCCTGCGGGGCCGTCGGCGGCAGCCGCGAGCGAGCACGTCGCCGCGGGCGCGGGCGCCCCTCGCCACGGGCAGCTGCGCGGGGGCGGAGGCGAAGCGCCGCCCCGCACCACGCGAGGCCGCCGGCTACTCGACGCCGACCAGCCTCGACGGCTCCACGCGGTGGGCCTTCGCCACCGGCTCCGAGGCGGCAGCGTCCTGCTTCGCCTTCGCCATGTATGCCGTGATCCTCTCGACCTCCTCGTCGGCGGAGTAGCCCGCGTCCCAGGTGCTGAAGCCGAGCCAGTCGTGGTCGGCCAGGGGGTAGCTCAGCGGGGGAGGGGGTGCGGCCTTGACCGACAGCGGGGTGGGGATGTCCCGTGCCTGGAAGTACGAGGGGTTAACGAACACGGCGTCCTTGTAGTGGAAGCGCGGCTCGACGTGATTGATCCAGTACGCATCCAGACCTCCGATGTACTTGAAGCTGGCGTTGTGCATGATCTCGAAGACCAGCTCTTCGGTGTCATCCTTGGACCTGGCTTGAACGAAAGACTCATAGCCACGACCAGTGCGACGGCCGTCGAACGTAACCAGGATAACACCGATCTCAATGTTTTTCCCCGAGTAAAGCAACGTCTCGTTGAGGACCTCCGCCTCGTACCCACCAGTGCTCAGGCTCCAGAAGTCGATGCTTCTCCTGCCGCCCATCTCTTCCAGAAACCTCGGCATGGCGTAGGCGTGGATCTTGTGTCCGCTCAACATGTCGATCGTGCCGTCCTGGGCGAATCCGATCTTCGTGGCGTTCTCGTGAGGAGACAGGGCCCCAAGAAACAACCACGCCTTCCGGAACTTGCCCCACAAGGTCACAAACTCGTATACGCGGGGCTCTAAGATCAGGCCGCGCCAGCCTGTGAGCTCGAGCAAGAGCGTGTTGCTGTTCTTCTCACCATCGGCCCCGTTGGAATCAACGTAGAAGCCGTTGGTGATGTTCTCCAGCACCTGCGTGATGAGCTTCACGTCCTGCGAGGCACTGCTGAAGCTCTGAACGTTGTCGCCCGTCTCCAGGCTGTACTCGAGCTCCTTGGGGAAATCAATGAAAGGCATGGCCGAGTAGTGGGAGATCGGCAGCGAGTCGCCGGTCCGTGGCGACCCGACGCCCCACGGCAGCTCGGAGCCCTGGCTGTACCCCTGAGACTGCCGCCCGGACTCGGCCGTCGCGCCCTCGGCCTGGAACTCCGCCGAGGGCTGGAAGTCCGCCGCCACCCTGTGCGCCTGGCTTGCGTCCAGGCCCAGGAGACTGGAGCGGTGCTCGCTGGAAGGCCTGGAGATCTCCGCCCTGCGGACGTCGCCGGGAGGCACGAGCACCGGCCTCCTGGACGACGCGGCCTCGAGCCTGCGGAAGTACTGCACGGCCTCCGCCGAAACAGCTAGGGCCTGCGCCCGGGCACGCGAGGCGGCGCTGTGGTCCGTCTCGCTCCTGATGCTCAGGCTGACGGCATTGGCCAGGGGGGCGGCGAGTATCAGCAGCAGCGCCACTGGCATCTTGACAGGACTGATGGTGCGGTATCCGACGTGCGGCGTGCGCTGCAAACCAGCGCAATCCACGAGCCCGACAGGCTTGAGCCAAAGTGACTAGGGTCACGTCCCTTGTCGCCTGTGGACCACAGTCGGCCCGTATCACAAGGATGCGCGAGAAGGATGCAAGGGCCTTGAGAGGCCACTTCGAAGCTTTTCGAGCGGGGCGCGGCCAGCAGAAGTAGCCAAGGATGGGTCGAAGGGGAAAGGCTGCAAGGGTACCCTTGGGAAGGTGGCCCATCCTCACTATTCGGGGGCGCGCACACATGGATTAGCGATCCATGGATTTGGCGCGCGGTCGCCAAATCCATGGATTGGGGGAGGTGCCCTCCCCAAAGTGCGGCCGGTGCCGCCTCGCTCGGCGGCGGGAATCCGCGATGTCCCATGGAAACGGGACCCGCCGCTAATCCACGCCCCCTTGATCCATGCTTGCGATCGCCTGAACTATGCGGGTTGACTGTAGTGCTGGTAACATGCGCTACTGCCCAGCAGCTCCATCCGCAGCACCTGCGGGAATGACTCTCCAAGACGCGGGTACGATCCACATGTTGGCCCACCTGTAGCGGAGGTCGTGCGACGACCCGCTCGAGCAACTGACGCCTCAAATGCAAGTTTCATATTCCACCACTGGAGAGGAAGCTCCTTCCTCTGGGCTGGGTGTTCATATCCGCCGTCTCCCTCCTCCTCCTCCTACTTGACTCTTGCCTTCTCCCCCGCCGCCCCCGCCTCCGTCCATACCCGTACTCATGCTCATGTCTCGTCCCCCGCTCCCCGCCCTCCCCCTCCCCTCTTGTCTTGTTTGCCCTGTGTTTTTTTGGGGAGAGCAGAGCTCGACTCCCCCTGCTCGACTCAGCCATGCGGCAGCTGCAAGGCGAATCGGAAGGTCGATAGGCGAGCCAGGAGAGCGACTGACCCTGGGCAGGATTCCTTTCCCTCGTCTTCCTCCTCCGCCTCCTGCTGCCGCCCGCCCCACCCTCTGTAGCCCTCAGTGTCCGGCATCCTGCTCTTCCCCCCTGTCCTTGTTCCCCTACCCTTCTGACCATCGCTGGGACGCCCATTTCCTGTGCATGCGTCGATCTCGTGCGCGTGCGTTTTCGCAAGATGGCCCAAACTGTTCCTCGATGGTTCTCGCCGAGGAAGAATGCACACGTCCGAGCGATGCCAAGCCTGTGGCTTAAAGCAGTTACATCAGGTCTCCTCGACAGAGCACAGCGTCCCCACCCTTCCCTGCCCCTTCCTCCTCCCCTCCCCTCCCTCCTCCCCTCCCCTCCCCTCCTCCTCCCCGTCCCCTTCCCTTCCTCCCCCTCTCCCTCCTCCCTCCCTTCCTTTCTCCCTCCTCCTTCCTTCCTCTCTCCCTTCCTCCCCCACTCCCTCTCCCTCTCCCTCTCCCTCCTCCCCTCCTCTCCTCCCCGGGCTGCGCGCACGCGGACGGAAGGAGAGACCACCCGGGCACGCCCAGAGCGCGACAACCGAGCCTCTGGCCGACGAGGGACAGGTGGTCCACGCGCCCCGCGGCGGCACTCCGTGGCATCACGACGCTGCCTCCAGCGGCCGATCCCATCCAGCCTCGCCCTCTCCCCTCCCTCATCAAGAGATTCGGGGATGGACAGACCTCCCTTCAGTAAAACGTGGCTTAGTGAAAACGACCTCGGGCCCAAACCTGGCGGGCGCAAACCTGGAAAATAACGGCCGCGGCGCCCTCTCGAGAACCGAAAACGGACAATTCACTAATCGACGTGTCAGGGTAGGAGGTCTGTCCACCCCCGAGAGACCTCCGCGAGGGGGGGTCCAGGCAGGTGGGGTCGCGGGATCGCGCCGCGTCGCCGCCGCATCGCCGATGCACCGGCGACGCCGGCGCTGCATCGGCGCCGCCGGCGTGGAGAGCCGGGCTCCACACCGAGTCGCGTCGCCGAGGCGTCGGCGCTGCGGCGCGAGCCCCCGACCCCTTCTGCTCCGATCCCAGTCAGGGGGCCCCGCCGCCTCAAGGCGCCAGCACGGCTGCCTCCTGGGAGTCCCTGGCCCGTTCCCCGAGGAGGGCTGGCTGCTCCCTGTGCCGGCCAGGAGGAGGAGGAGGAGGAGGAGGAGGAGGAAGAGGAGGCTGAGGAGGCTGAGGCTGAAGAGATGATGATGATGATGATGATGATTGATGATGATGATGATGATGATGATGATGATGATGATGATGATGATGATGATGAATGATGAGGATTGAGGAGGAGGAGGAGGAGGAGGAGGAGGAGGAGGGGGAGGAGGAGGAGGAGGGAGCGAGAGGAGGAGGAGGAGGAGGAGGAGGAGAGGAGGAGGAGGAGGAGGAGGAGCAGGAGGAATGGAGGAGGAGGAGGAGGACGAGGAGGAGGAGGAGGAGGAGGAGGAAGAGGACGTCCCAGGTGCCGTCGACGACGGCGGCGGCGCGCCGAGCGGCTGGGCCGCCGTGGGGGGAGTCCTCGGGCAGGCGCCAGGGCAGGGCGCCGTCCTTGCCGATGCCCCCCTTCGGCGTGCTGGCCACGACGACGGACACGGCGCTCATGGCTGCCACCGGGGGCCCCTCCGGGCGGACGGCGACGGCGACGCCGAGGAGGGAGAAGGGTGGCGGCGAAGGGGAGGGCGAGGGCGAGGGGTCGGAGCAGCGGGCAAAGTGCCCCCGAAGAGGCTGGGAGGAGGGGGGGGGAGGGAGGCGGCGACGAAGAGGCGGGAGGGCGACGGCGAGAGGGAGGGAGCGGTAGGGGAGGGGGGAGGATGCGGAAGTTGCTTGATCGGGCAGTGTATGTCGGTGAGTCGGGGGAAGGACCCCCGCGGGACAGCAAACGATGTCCTTTTGGACGCCCGAAATGGGTACGGAAATAATGGGTACAATACCCAACAACGAACGTTGTCCCAAACCAACAGCGGCCGCTGTTGGGCAGGCGGCCTTCTGTCTCGAATGGACACAGGCCGCGGCGGCGTGGACAGCGAGTAGTGTTGAAAATGAACCGAATCCGCTGTTGGGCATTGTACCCATTCTTTCCGTGCCCATTTCGTTCGTGCAGAGTCATTGACAGTGGATGACGGCTGAAAGAGGGCGGCACGGCTGAATCGCACAGGCAGGGCTCGAAGTATGAAAGCTCCGAACTCAGATCTACTGAGAGAGGGAGCGCGAAACCAAAAGCAACAGAGAGACAGGGGGAGGAGGAGCGCATAGGGGTGAGATAATGAATGCGCAAGGCAGGATTCCACAACCGAGCAAGAGCATTCAAGCTTCGTGGCACTGATCGCCGAATCTTTTAGTAGTTTCGGACAAAACACAAAAAACATCACAAAACAACGCAGCACAGACGCGACAGAGAAGTGAGAAGGCACGGCGCAAGCAACAGGTTTCTGGAGAAACCGAAACTCACTCAGAGAATTGCAATATTTGTTTCGCTGCGCAACGGGCTCCGACGAAACTCGTACGGCACGGTGGGGTTGCCGATGACCCAGGTCCTGAAAGGGGAGGCGGTGGAAGACCTGGAGAGGCTCCGTGGGCGACCTCCTCGCAGCGACGCCAACAGCGCGTTTCTTTATGTTCGGCGATGACGGGCGTCATGGGGGTGGGGGGGGGCGTGGGGGGGGTATGACGTAACGCCCCCCCCGCCGTGACGACGACGACGGCGACGACGACGACGTCCTCGACGACGCGATCAGCATGTAGGTGTCGATATGCCCCACTGCGCCTGTACACCACAACGCTCGCGTGCACCACAGCGCGCGTGTATACCACAGCGCCTGTGTACACCGCAACAACCGTGTGCAACGCAGCGCCTGTGTACACCAGAGTGCTTGCGTACACTACAGCGCCGGCGTACAATTGCACACCGCAGCTACCATGTGCAACGCAGCGCCAGTGTACACCACAATGCTTGCGTGCACCGCAGCGCCTGTGCACGCCACAGCGCGTGTCTACACCACAGCATCCGCGTGCAACGCAGCGCTGGTGTACACCACAATGCTTGCGTGCATAGGACAGGTAGAAGGAGCATGTACGTGAGGATCTGCTGCGGACAACTAGACGCCACGCCAGGAAATTACTGATAATCGAATGCAACGTTCTTCCCTCTTCCCTCCTCCTCCTCCTCCTCGTCGACCTCCACCTCCACCTCCACCTCCACCTCCTCCTCCTCCTCCTTCTCCTCCTCCTCCTCCTCCTCCTCCTCCTTGCCCCCCGTCGTGCGGGTTGGCGCCACAGCGCACGTGCGCATCTCAACGCGCACCGCAGAATAGTCCATTGAATCGGTCCAGTTGGTTCTCGGACGGCCAATTTAGCGGGAACCTCCTGGACGCAAAGGGAAGAGTTAGGGTGATGCGGGCGGTCTCGGGAGGACACGTAGATTCCAGCGGCGCTAGTGTTTTCAGTGGAATCCACAGGCGCTCTATTTTGTCATAGGGATTCGTTCCCACATTCTATATACAACACTGGCGCTGTGTTGCACACGGTTGCTGTGGTGCACACAGGCGCCGTGGAATACACAAGCACTGCAATGCACGCAGGCATTGTGGTGTATACTGGTGCTGTGTTGCACACGGCTGATGTGGTGAACGCAAGCGCTGTGGTGTGCACAAGAGCTGTTGTGCCCGCAGGCACGGTGGCACAAACTGACGCTGTGTTGCACGCGGCTGCTGTGGTGTACATAGGCGGTGGTGGACACAGGCGCTGTGGTGCACGCGCGCACTGTGGTGTGCACAGGAGTTGTGGTGAAAATCGCCACGTGCATGCTGGCGCTACCCGTCCTCCGTCATTCCTAAGCATTCCCAATCGCCGCCGGCGCGAAACGTGACGTCATCGACCCCCTCCATCCCCCCCCTAGATGATTGCCGTCATCGGCCCGGAATAAAAAGCAGGTTTCAACCGCGTCCGCGCGCACGACGAGTATGAGCGACGAGCGACAAGCCACGAGCGACGACGACGACGACGACGACGACGACGGCGACTGCGGACCAAACTCCTATGCGGATTCCTACGCGGACACCTACGCGGATCCCCATGCGCACAGCGGCAGTGCTCGGAGCGCACTGGGGGGCAGTGCCCGGAGCGCTCTGGAGGGGGGAGCGTTACGTCATAAGGGGGGGGGAGGGGGGGCCATGACGCCCGTCATGCCCCAAGCAATAAAGAAACGGGCTCCAGACGAGACTGTAACTTCTGCGCCACATCGCCCTCCCCGCTGACCACCGCATCGAAGATCTCAAGAGTTAGAGTGCGGCGCAGCTTCAGGATGGTCGCCTTCCTGCGCGTCGCAGCGGCGGTGGCAACGATGTCCACCAGGGACGCCTGTATCTCAAGGAGCAAATAACCGCCGCCTGCACGACGGGCTGACGGGTCCTCGATGGCCGAGCTGGCCGCTCTCGCATCGCCAGCGCGTGGCCCATCATCGCCGCGATCTGCCCCTGATGGTGCACGTCGCCTCCCAACAGTGTCGACACCATCGTGTCGGTCGCCTTGAGAAGATACTCCTCGAAGACTGGCACTCTGGGCGCGAGTTCAGGGAAGTGGAACCTGATCAGAGCCAGGTTTACGAAGTTCTTGGCCTCAGCGTGCACGGTCAGTGCATCCCAAGCCTTAGCGGCCGCCTCGACACTCTCGCCGCTGATATCCACGTCGTTTGGCTGGTGCCTGTCCTTCTGCTGAGTATCCGCCAAGCCCTCGGCGTCCGCTTGGTTGCTGATGGAGGGTCCCGCCCTGTTTGCTGAGGCAACTCCCGCCTCCGCGGAGACCGCTAGTTACTGCACTTCTGAGTTTGCGGGGGGGGCTCCTTTTTTCCGATGCCGCAAAAGCCGAGGGTGCAGAACCGCAATGAGGTACACCTCTGTGCCTCTCCGTTTGCAGCGGGGCGGTCTTCAACCCATTCTGGGCGGCGACGCTGGAAGCTCGGTTCTCCTCGCTGCGGTCCGCTGCCACCGCGTAGACTCCCTGGTCAGGGAAGGGGTCGATGAAGATCTCTCCTAGGGCGGTCTACTGCCTGCACTCTGGGGGCGCAAGCGGGTCTGACTGAGAATCTCCGTCTGGGTCGGTCCTGCGATCCCCATGCGGCTCCTCGACTACATCAAAGCGGTACTTGGGACGAGCTCAGTAAGCAACTTCGGTGCAGTAGCTGTTGTCGTCTGTCATCGGAGGTCGTGCGAGTTCGCAGCGCCCTCGAGGGCCGCTGTTTTCGCGATGCTCTGGACCGCTGCCGGGACTGCGAGATGGGACGCGCAAGGTCCTCCTGGACCCAGGCGCTCAGGAGCCAGAGCGTCACGTGCCAACCTCACACGTGTTGATGAGCGGGTCTACTGATGCAGGATGGCCAGCTCCTGGCGCACTCGACCGCGCTCAATCAAGTCCTTGATGGCGCGCGCCTGGCCATCAGACACCCCCTTCAAGAGGTCGACGCTCGCGCTTGCAGCACCTGCCTGAGCAGGAAGAACCAGCTGTCTGCACAGAGTAACAGTGAGTGAGGCCTGCATTGGGGGCGAGTGCAATCTTGTCTGGAAGGATGAGCGTAAGAGTACGGACCGGCCGCCTCGCCGTGCCTGCGCAGGCCAAAACGACTCGAGCCAAACTGGCGCTGGGGTGACTCTGCGGAAGGTGATGAGGAGATGCTGGGGGGGGACTCATTGGGTGAGGGAGGAAACGGGGGAAGGGCCGCCCAGGGGGCGGGAGGACGACGCCGACGAGGAGGAGGACGATACACAGGGGAGGGGAAGGGAGGGACCAGGGAGAGTGGGAGGACGACGGCGGGGAGCACGGGAGAGCAGGCAGAGGGGTGGGGGGCACAGGGGGCGCGCGGGGTGGGGGGCACGGGGCGCCACCCCCGCGGAGAAGCCAGCGCGCAAGACTCGCTGGCAAGCGAGCGGGAGGAGGACTACAGTCAACCAGCATAGTAAGGATGAGCGATAAGGATGCAAGGGCCTTGGACGCCCATTTCGAAGCTTTTCGAGCGAGGCGCGGCAAGCGAAAGCGGCGAAGGATGGACCGAGGAGGCGAGGATGCAGGGGTACCCTTGGGAAGGTTGACCATCCTTGCTATCATGGTCGACGGGATCCTGGACAGTTCTGAGACGCACACACACACACACACACACACACGTGCGGAACATCGCCACTGAATCGCCAAAGGGGAGGAGCGGGTCGGGTGCGCTGAAGCGGGGGGCCAGGAAGAAAGAAAAATAGCATCGCGGACGGCGAACGGATCCATCGGTCTGGACCTCGGGGCGCGACCCCGCGGACACATGATGGGCGTGTTTTCCACCACCACCACCACCACCATAAGTTGGAGGGGGTGGTCCTCCTCCTCCTCCTCCTCCTCCTCCTCCTCTTCTTCCCCCTCCTCGCCCTCTTCCTCCCTTCCCCCTCCAACTTATGGTGGTGGTGGTGGAAAACAGGCTCATCAGACACACGGTCGCACGGGTGCCTTCAGCGCGGGCAGCAGCAGCGAAGGGAGCGCCCCGTGTTCGAGGGTCGCGGCACAGGGGCCCGGCCCGTCAGCTCGCGGATGTGGATGTGCCTCTCGCCAGCGAGGGTTGGCGCCCTTGGCCCGAGGCATGTGCGCTGACG